TTACTTCTCTTCCTGTCCACGGTGCTCACCACCACCACCACCACCACCACAACAACAATTACCACCCCCCCCCTGCCTCAGAAGCAGACCTCTCCACTGCGTCCCCTACCCGCCCATCCCCCTCCTATCACACCAACCACCCACTCTACCTCACCAACCAGCCCTCTTCCTGACCCCCAAGAAGCCATCACCCTGACTCACATCAAAACAATACTTGATAATATGATACGAAATCATCCAGCGGTCCAAGAAATAATGCAAAAGCAAACAGAACTTGGGAACGCCCTTGATCAAATTAAAAGGACACAGGACCAAATCCTCCAGCTCCTGCAACAGCAGAGTCCATCATGTGAAGGCCCAACATGCCAGAGTCTGGTACAAGGTGATGCAGCACAAGCTGTCATGGTATATGACAGCGGACACAACAATGGTTCCATAACATCAGTGCACACAGTACCCCCAGTGCACCCAGTAACACCAGTGCACACAGTAACACCAGTGCACACAGGAACATCAGAGCACACTAACACCGGTGCATACAGCAACACCAGTGCACACATCGGTCACCACAGAATACTTAATAACGAAAATGAACATCATAATAATATTCAAAGTGCATCTGTTAGCAAACAACTTCAAAATGGATACTAACGGGGAAGAACATCTCACTATACTACAATGGAATTGCAATGGAGTTCGCAATAGAATTAATGACATCATACAGTACGTCCGTGAACACCAAACTGACGTCATAGTGCTACAAGAAACACTGGTGGGTGATGACTTCAACCCAAGATTCAGCGGTTATCAGAAGTTCTCCCTTCCAGCTGGGGAAAGAAAACGGGGCCTCACTACCTTTGTAAGTAACAACATTCCTGCACAGATTATTGATGACCTCCACATGGGGAATGATTATGAGTCATTGGGGGTAACCCTTCACTTAAACAATAATGCCTTACATATAATCCACCTATATGTGCCACAGAGTAAACTTGACCTTGACACACTACCTGAATTTGTTAATGAAGAACCTACCCTGCTGGTCGGTGACCTTAATGCCAGACACCCACACTTTGGTGCCAACTGTCATCAGCCCAATGTCAATGGACGGAAACTGTCACTCTTTGTTAGGGGAAGTGAAAACCTTAGGGTCCTGGGTGATGAACAGCCAACTCACCTCAGAGGAGGAAGATTAGACTATGCTCTCCTGCTGAATGCACAGGACACGGATGCCAGTACACACATTGTGCACAGTTTATGTAGTGACCATTGGGCACTGATTACCACCGTCGACATGAGCAAGAGAAGGAAAGAGACAAATAAAAGAAAAAGGTTATCACTCGGACCAGATATGAGGCCGCACTTCATAAACAGGATGAGTGACTGGTTCACGGAATACCAAATCCCAGAAGACATTGATACATTTGTTGATGACCTTAATAACCAAATTGAGCACTGTCTCCGAGTTCCGCGCCGTACGCCTGGGCGCAGTAACCCTCAGAAGAAGAAAATAAAATGGTATGAGAACGATTACATAAAGATGCTCAATGCAAATGTTAGGAGCATGAGTAGAGAGTACCGGAGACATCCCACCGAAAGCAACCAAGAACTGTTCAAAACTGTGTGTCAAGTAGCCAGGGAAGAGAAGATTAGAGAGCGGGAAAGACAATGGCTTGAATTCACTAGCTCCATTGGAAGAGAAACATCTGCAAGACAAGTATGGGCAAAAATTCAGATAGCTAAGGGGGCAGAACCCGGCCTGCGGCTCACAAAGACCCCCAGGGTAAGGCTGAAGAACTAATTCACAAGTGGAGTGATGCAGCATCCTCCTCCTCCCTCCCTGCAGAAGTAAGCAGGGAACAGCTCCTCCGACATAATGACAGAAGGATTAGGATAACAAGAGCACAATCTAGTGATGACGAGTATGGGGAACCAATCACACCCCAGGAAGTAAGGGGGGCTATGAAAAAGGGTAAAAGTACAGCACCTGGTGAAGATGGCGTCACCTACGACATACTCAATGCACTGTGTGAAGTGTCTGGGACTCCACTACTCCACCTCTGTTTAACAAATCATTCCTTGGTGGAGTGTTGCCCACACAATGGAAACATGCAATAATTGTCCCCATACCGAAACCCAATGACCCTGGCAATTACAGACATATCGGTCTTATGTCATGCACTTGCAAGATGCTTGAAAGGATCATTCTAAATCGAATGTTGCACAAAATAGGCAGGTTAGGGGATGGGGTCAATGGATTTGTTAAAGGACGGAGCACAGCAAATTGTATAGTTAATTACCTGGCTAATGACACAGCTAAGTACTCTGTATTTGTCGACATCAAAAGAGCTTTCGACAAAGCACAGGGGATTGCGATCCTGGACGAGCTTGCATGCATGGGTGTCAAGGGGAGACTCATGAAATGGATTGCAGACTATCTCACAGGGAGGAAAGCCAAGGTCTGCTTCAATGGAGCAGTCTCAAGAACAATGAATATGGAACTCGGGACTCCCCAAGGAGGGGTCTTAAGCCCCACACTATTCAATGTACTTATGAATGCCATTGCAAATATTGATTTTCCGGAAGGAACACAACAAGTGGGATATGCAGATGATGTTCTAATACAAGCTCCCACCTTGGGAAAAATTAAACAGTCCATTGAACTCCTTGGAAGGAAATGCATTGAGCTCGGTTTCACTCTCTCCACAAACAAGACAAAAGCATACTCTCATCACAAGAGGGGAGAAAATGAAGAACTACAAATTAATGGTGTAACACTTGAATGGGTTGACCACTATCGGTATCTTGGCGTCACTGTCGGCTCTAACAAGGGGAAGAAAGAGGAGCTCAACCAACTCATAGGAACATGCAGAAGTCGACTCAGGGCACTGAAAGCCATGACCTAGAATGGGTATGGAGCCTCTATTGCCGTGCTCAAAATGATGTACACAGCCTATGTGCGCTCCGTCATAGACTATGCTGCACCAGTTTTATGCACCTACTCCCAAAGCGATATGAAAAGGCTCGAAAGCATTCAGAATGAAGCCATGACAATCATTCTTGGAGTTCCGAGAACTACCAAAACTTCCAATCTACGAGAGGAGTTGTTCCTCCC